TGCTAATCAGCGAACATCCCTAGGAAGAGGTTCCATTTTGGAACAGTCACAATTCCTTGAGGCTGTTCAGAAAATAGCAGCCGCTTCTGGGATGCATATACCCAGGGATGCTGAGCCACGGAGTAACCTGCCCTCCTTCCCCAATGTGAGGTATGGAACTCTAGAGATCTTCAAATGGTAAGTACTTGATGGGTAATGGGTAATGGGAAGCAGACCCAAGGCCCTATAGGAATTCACTGGAAGGAGAAGCAGTTTAAGGCCTATGGGGACTTGATGACGTGGGATTGGGGGAGATAGTTGGGGGCATTGGAATATCCCTGAGATTAGTTATCAAAGTGACCATGGGGCAGGTTCATAATGTCAAAACAGAGTCTTAAGTAGCTTTTTTTGGGGGGGGGGGGTCTTAACTTTGCTAAGTGATCAGTTATAAGTCAAAGACCACCTGTATATCCAGTTTCCTTATTCTTCCCTTGTAACACTTGATTTATAGCCACTCAGTTATTATTGCAGCCACTCTGCAACATTTTCTCTGAATCTTTCATAAATGGAATCTCAAGGTTTCAACAGGGACTCAGATCAATGTAGCACATAGTGAATTATATCTTTCCCTGATTTGGAACCTATTTATTCAATTATTGCTTATATTAATGTGGCCTAAATCGCATTTGCCTTTTGCGTAGCCACTTCACATTATTATGAAATTCAATGAGTTAACTGATGATAAGTCCAAGATCTTACTCATGAGTACCTTTGCTGAGACCTGTATTTTAGAGACATTCTCTTTTGCAATTAACATCAGAAAACACGCTGTACCTGTGTGATGGATATTTTTCTTTTATAGAAGATATAATCATATTTTCCACTTTTTGATCAGTGACTGTCACTAGATCCGCTGGAGAACTTTTAATCATGACGGTTATTTCCTCTGTCAATGCCTCCCGGATTACCTGTGTAGAAAAATCTTTATATGATTATTTTGAAAATAATATTTTTAATTATCAGTAAGACTTAAGTTAAAACCTGTCTGTTGGGGCAAGGCATAGAAGCAGCAAGCAAAATTATACTGAAAGACTCCAATTCAATTCTTATTTTACAAGGTACAAACATTTGTAATGAATAAAAATGTAGAAAATGGAAGAACCCTTTCAGATTGTGTTCAAGTGTCATGCATAACTAATACATATGCAGGCACCATAGGAAGTACACTATTTTATAAACGAATTGGTTAAATGTTTTTATAAGTTGTCCATGATTTAAGGTTTCTAAATCTTATATTTATTTTCATATTTTAAAGTATAAGTGATTTCTTGTTTGCTCTGTAAAATCCTCATTCCTTTGTATTGCTTAGATAATAGATAGAAATGCAAGTCAGGTTCATCAGTACTTGACCACAAGCCATTTTTGAGAATGATATTTTAAAATGTTTCTCTGATCCCAATAGAAAGTAAATTATTCATACCTCTCCAGCTTTTCTTGCTAAAACAATTGCATAGTTCATGCATTCTTCCCAAGGATCAGCCATTTTGATCTACCTAGAATATAATATTTTAGTTACTTTTAACTTATAAAATAGCATACAGTATCGATGCTGAGGAAAAAAAATCATTCTAGAATCTTTGTCTTTAGTCTGATTAACTTCATATTCTGGATTTCCTTTGTTCAGATTGTTCAGAGAGACCTACATGCAAATAAAGATTAACATTGGTGTGGCTGGTATCTTCGTTAGAAATTTCTTTGAAAAGCTTAAGGATTTTGTTTGCTTTTAAGCATTGTTTTGTTCCAGAATGTTGGGAACACAACTAAAAATATACTTGCTTGGAAGTAAATCCTATTGAATATGAAATATTTTTACATTTATGCTTAAAGATACACCAAATACTCTTTAACAGGTAGATGCATAAAAATATCTTTGTCCAGTCTTCCATTTTTTTAATTATGATCCAACACAGGTGATATTTACAATGAACAGATAGTTTAGGTAGATGCAATTAATTGGATTTTTTACAAACAGGATTTGAACCTAATATTGGGGCAGAAATCCACCCAGATTTCTTGATAGTGAGATCGGCAGCATATACATTTAATACATAAATAATGATGGATGATTTATGCCAAAAATGGGGAAAAACCCACCCTCAAATCTAGGGAGAACTCAATGACTAAAATAATCAAGCAGATTAACAACAATGAGAAAATGCAACTTATTGTACAGCTTAATTATTATAAAATGAAACATTGCTCTGAACGGAAGAAAAGCACATTTATCCTACGCACAGAGGGCCAACTAGGAACATCAAGGGGTTGAGCCCATTGTTGAATTCTCTGTTACTTTCCAAAAAAACCCAAACAAATCCCACTTAAGTTCTTTGTCTGCTAGCGAATACTACCAATCAGATTTTGATTAACTTGTGTTAGCTAATATAACAACTCAATTATATCCAACTGTTTTCTTTGGTTTTTTCCTGGCCAAACAATTTGTGAATTCAGTATAGGATGGAAATAGTGTGAACATTTTCTGAAATGGGAAATGTATAAATCATCTTTCCAGCATCCTTTGAGACAGCACATACTGAAAGCACAATCCTGCCTCTTGTTAAATTCAGAACACAATTCTGACACAGTTAGATTCAATCTGTTTATCTGAAAGCTCCTTATTACTTTATCTTTACAGGCTCTTCCTTATCCTTTGCAGCAGATGAACCTTGTTTTTTAAGGCATCTGCTGCGGTCATAGGGAAGTAGCGATCTGAACCTCTTCCTAGCATTCCTGATGCACTCCTATGTGCATCAGGCTGGTAAGCTTCTACCCAGTGTTGCTCTAGTACCTGACTACTTCCTCCTTAATTATAATTAGAAAACACCAAATGGCAAAAGAGCATCTCTGAGAAAATGGAGCTTTTTCACCTTAGCTTCATTAGAACACTTCAAGCAGAGATGATCCCCGCTATCAGGAGGCCTATTCCTCCAGCCAAGTTTGCAGACGGCTTTTCATGACCTTTCTGCCTTTATCCTCCTTTTCTAGCTTCCCCACATCCTAGTGATTCTGAGATATATCTGCCTTTCCTCATCCATCTTGCTGTTCCATGCAGAGGAAAGCCACCAGGAAATGAGGGAATGGCATGGTGCAACAGGATGGGTGTGGCAAGATTGTCAATGAACGTAGGCTTCTTTACTGTTTTATTGGCAACAGTGTAAAATAGCTAGCCATTTCCTTTTTCAGAATTATATTTTCTGCATTTCTCATTTTAGCCTAAAGCTCTGGGATCTCCTGGTGGTCTCTCATCCAAGTACTAATCATGTCTGAGCATTTAGGTCTTCTTCCCCTAGGCCAGGGGTCAGCAACCCGCGGCTCTGGAGCCGCAGGTGGCTCTTTCCACCCTCTGCTGTGGCTCCATCGCTCAAAATATGTGTCACAACCGCCAATGTGTGATATTCACTGGCACGCAATTTATTGAGCCAACCATGGATAAATCCAAGAAAAGAAAATTTTAAGAAAACAGAATGTTTAATTCAACTACATAGTTCTGTGGCCGCTCAAAAAATAGTCAGGCAAGGCTCTCGGTGTTTTCTTTTCTGTGGGAAACTGGTCCAAATGGCTCTTTGAGTGTTTAAGGTTGCCGCCCCCTGCCCTGGGCAATCTTTCACATCTCACTGTCCACATAAGGTTAGCAAGAGGATGGAACTGGAGTAATGATCCTCTTCTTTCAATGCTACTTGATCTCCCCTTGGAGCAAAGGGTTAGGGTTGTCTTGGAGAGACAATTCTTGGCTGAGGGTCCTTTGTACCCTTGAATGTCATTTACTGTCTGACTGCCTGATCTATCCTAGTGTACATTTTCTTCAAAGTATAAGTGACACATCAAACACTCCATTCTCTGTGCCTATTTCCAAATAAATGTAGCCAGGCCTTTAGGGGACATTTATACAAGGAACGGTGGGGCATCTACGCTAAATCAGATTCCAGCATCCAACAAGGACGTTTGTAGCTTTTGAGAATTAAAAAAAAAAGGGGGGGGGGTAGGATTGTCACTTCCTGTTTTATTTGGCTGCTGTTTAAACAAGAATACAAACGCAAAAGAGGACTACAATTATGCTTTTTGAAAGTTCCGGCCTTGCATATTTAAGGGATCTGTCCGGAAAAAAACCCGAAATTTTCCTGCTTCCATTAAACCCAGCGTCAGTTTTTCTATGATCCAAGGCTCGACCTAAACGTACATGACACCGTGATAAGGGAGTTGCCACCGTGTTGGAGCGCAGTCGACTCTGAACCCTACGAGCTGCTGTGTCAAACAGGAGAAAAAACAAAGAAATCCTAGAATTAAATCAGATCACGGATTAGAACAGGAAATGTCGCCAGCTCGGGACTTACCGTTAGGAGGCCAGTTTTTTTGCAGTAGCTCCCAGCTATTGGCAAAGCCGGTTCATTAGGCAACCCCCTCAGCCGAACCCACTGCGCAGGCGCTGCAAAGATTTAAGCCGTCCCCTCTGCTCCTGCGCTGCCATTGCAAATTGTCTGATCGTTCCAGTGGAGTGCGAGCCTGAAAGAGCGAGGCCCGGCTCGTGCTTTCATTGGTTGCCTGGTGTTCGGATGTTCGGGAAGGCGCGGCGAAATTCCACGGCGCTTTCCCGGGAAAACGAACCTTTCTTCCTACGCGTATTTAACCGAATAGCTGAACAAAATTCCGGCATGTTTACGTTTCGAATTCGCACGTGCATATCAGCCTGAATCGGGCACACCAAATAGGCGAATAGATCATTTGTACTTTGCTTCCAAATACGAAGTGAGAAATAAAAGCAGTTTTAATACAAAGATCTGTTAAAAAAAAACAATTTGCGCTTTTAATTGGAATGGATCGTTGAGTGTATTAAGGAATGGAGATAAATGAGGGTCAGAAGGAGAGATCGATATTCTCTGATTGTAAAAAATATTTCAATAAGATGTTACAAAAAAAATAGCATTGGGTATTGTCTCACCCTAAAAAAGGAGCTGCTGGGCACACTTGGATGATTTCCTTTATCAGTCTTACATTACTTCAATAAATATAAAACCCAAAGTAGTTAACCTTTCTTACCAATGTATTTCAACAAGAGTTTTTTTGGTTTTTTCAAACTGCCCATGAGCAATTAGTATATTAATGTTTAAAAGATATTTTGAACATGTATATATCTAACTCTGGATACTGTGATTCATTGGGTTTGAGAAACATGGAAATATTTATATTGTTTATTAGATTAGCCAAATGTACTTTATGGCTAATCTACAATATCACCAAATCAAATTCCAAATCCCCTTTTTCATAAAAAGAGAAAATATATTGGAATATTTTAACATAGTATATAATTTATAAAATACACGTTATAATTTATAAGAAAAAAAATGGCCTCGTTGTTCCAGGATTTGTATGACCACACACAGCTTATAACAAAAATATTTCTGCTTCCATGGCTGATAGAATTGCAAATTGACTGTAATAGTGTCACTTTGTCTAGTAGTGAACATCTGAAAATATTAATTACATTACTTAAAATATTTTTGACAAATAAAATAGAGTTGAAAAAAATTAAACTGTTAATAGTTGATACAATTGTAAGACACAATCATAATGTTCCGTTGACATTTGAACCATTTAATTGATCCCAAATCTAGCTAACATCAAAATTAAATATGTAAATGAACCATAAATACAGAATTGTTTTCAAAATAAATATAAATGTTCCAAAAGAGCATCTATGACTGACTGACTTTACATAATGCATTGTCAGAATCTTAAGTAGATATATTTGAAGAATTAAAATTTTCTTTTGGCTGAAACAGTTACTGAATAATGTGGCTTCTATAAATTGCTTTTGTAATTAAAAAAAGTGCCAATACTATGGAAATTGTATGTGAATCACTCTCCATTAGTTGGATCACAGGAGTAGAATGAGCAATACTTACTGAAGTACTCTTGTTAACCAAAGCTATCAAGTACGGTATTTCTATTCTTGCCAGGAATTTTTTAGTCCCTATCGTTATTTGATAAAAAAAATATTTATTTAAAACATTTATATAGTAGACCAGGGTTGTCAAACTCACACCACAACAGTGATGTATTGGGACATTTTCCTACTTTGCTAAATTGGACGTGGGCATGGCCAGCGCATGACACATCTGGCCCATGGGCCTGGAGATTGACAGCCTTGTGGTAGACTACTTTTCAGACAACTCTGAGCGGTGCCTAAAATATTTTTTCAGGACTATTTGTAGCAATACATATTATATAAGCAAAATTTTGTGACATAAAGTAGCATAATTTTCCACCACGTTTAATAAACCCAACCCTCTTTTTGGATTTTATTTCAACTTCATGTATTTTAACTGGTTCAGAAAACAGCAAGCAAATAACACAATCACCTGCTGTACTTGAATACTAAGTTTATAATAACTCACATGTAGGAATGCATGCACAGATTAAGCACCACAGGTAGTCTTTTCAATTGATTAGCTGTTAGTCTGAACTCAATTTTCAGAAAATGGAAAGACATGTATGACAAATATATTTGCGCATTTTGGAAAACAACAGCCTCAATACAGATTTCTTTTTAAACTAAATTCCCGTTTCATCTTTGTACCGTAGAGGTAGCGAAACAAAGTTTTCTCATGTTCAATCTGAAACAATAAATTCAAAAGCAGTATCTTCTATAATTACTATAGATAAGAATCTGCATCTGCTAAAAATTCGACGTCATTATCAAGATATTCCAGGATTACATTTCCACCATTATATAGCGGCGATTCTTTAGAGTTTATCCACGATTCTACTGTGTGATCCAAAGGCAGGGCTTCTCCAGATGCTGTGTGGCAAAGTCTTAATTTCTGAAAATTGGGAGGGGAGGAAGTTAATCACTCTTAAATCCAAATATTTGGAATTCCCACAAAATTGCTTCAATTGATTTACCTTGGCTGTGGTTTTGTTGTTGTCATTTTTAAGGCTTGCTAAGCGGGCTGCACAATCTACTGCCTTGCCAATGCTCCATTTGCTGCAAAAGTACATGGGTATACTTTTATTTTTGCTTCCTTTAGGTAAAAATACTTGGAAATAGATTCTGTCTGTCTGTAAGAGAAAGAAAAACAAGATGCAGTGTTAAAATAGTTCCTAGTGGCATATTCCATTTATTTTATTGCTTTAAAAGGAATGTTTGTATTTCTCCACCAGTACATAAATTTCTCACCCCAGAGCTATAATTTTAAGACAAATTCCACCTTCTTCATTTCAGAAAATCTACTACACCTTACATATAAGCAAAAGTGTCCCGTAGAACCCTTGAAACAAGTTTAATTGTGGGATTAGAAAAAAAAATTGTTAAGAGAATAAATACTGCAGTTATTCAGAAATGTATTTGTCTAATCCATAAGCATGATTTACCTGCGGTACAGACTTCTCCCCACATGCGTGCATTTTTAGTTTCATCAGGGCCACTTTTGCAGCTGTTTCGGGGTTCTTGGCTCCTCTGCCTTTTTTCATTGAAGTGGCTTCTTTTTTAGAATCTAAAAATATACAGGCATTCACTGGGTTGAATTACCTATCCCTCTTTTTTTTAATGCTGAGCGCAGCTATCTTGGAAGAAAGTGCTGCCTCTCCCTACTTGTGTGTTTGAGATGCAGTCTCTTCCCTGATCTTCAAATCCTGACAGTTGCCAATATTCAACGTGTGACTGAGAAGTGACAGCTTAGGAATTCCGTAGTATGAAAAAAGAAACTTCTATGGTACTGTGTAATTATTTTAATATAAAATACTGTGGAATAGCAGTATTGTTATTGAAAAAAGGCTGTGAATTATACTATCTATTCTTGCAGATTTCAATATATAGCAATGTATTCTGACCTTCCCTCCATACGCCGAGGCACGCTGACACAAGATTACTGCTAGACAATTTATTCACAGTAAATTAACACACCGACAAGACTTTGTCAGCAATCCAGACTTCCAAGATAAAAAATACACACAAGAGCTTCTCCAGCGTTAGCATATTAGTTGAATCCTGCAAACAGCCTCCTCCCAAAGTCTCTCCTTATATACTCTCTTGGAAGGGGCCTAATCACAACCACCTGGATCCAATTATCTCCTTTGTCTCTTTAATTGCTGCCGGCGTTTATTTGCCCACCTCTGCCGGGCATCCGGGACCAATTCCCTCTGAACCTCATCACTGCTCAAAGGCCTGATGTCTTCACCACTGCTCCAGGGCCTGACGTCATGGGCACACTCCCTTTGGCTTTCACAGCTGCTCCATGCCTCAGGCGCCTCCTGGTGACCAACCAGCCTCTCTGGTCCCTGCTCGGAGTCTGAACCCTGTCCAGGGTCCTCCACATTTTCCAGAGCCTACTCATAGGGCCCCTCGCTATCGGAGTCTCTTTGCAGCTCCAACGGCTCCTGCTGGGCCACAACAGCAATGATAGGGAGCATGATATTCATGGAAACTCAAGTTCCCAGAGCTGATCTGTCTTGCTTCATGCCAGGCTCAACAATCCATGTTTCTTTTCATTTTTAAAGTTTTTTAAGTAAGTGGGAAATTGCCATGCTGCAGAACAAATTCCAGTCTCCAATGTCATCCTTATTTATATTGTAAATACTATAGAGGGATTATAACTCTGGGCATACTTGGAAAAAAAGTAAACACTGGAGTATGAAGTGTGGAGTACTGCTTTGCTACAGTATACCATTCAGTTCAAAAGAAAGACTCAAATTCTCATTATAATCAACTGACTGCAGCTTAATCTCAGCAATTCCTTTGAAGCAGGATTTATTCAGCTAAAGGGCATGGATCACTGGATATGTGCTCTATTCTAACATGGAGTTCTGAGCACTCTATTAGAGGAAACAATATTTTATAAAATCCTGCACTTACCTACAATATTTTTAATCAGTTGCCGAGTGACAGTCATACGAGCTTCAGGGATTTCCAGTTTCTCACACTCATGGTCTGACTGATGACGGTGCCTGAAAATAATAGATTGCCAAATATTCACAAGGTACTTTACAGAACAATAGGATAAGATTTGTTTAGATCATTGTCTTTGCTCACCTTAAGCAAAATTGTTTTTCACAGTAAGCACATAAGACGGGTACAAGTTCTCTTCCATCACAATCTTTATACATGCATGGAAATGATTTGTGATAATCCAGTTTCATATGTTTGTTTTTTAGATTTGCCTAAGTAAATTAAAAAAAATACAATTTAAAATCTTATTTAAAAATCAAATTATATATTGAAATTATTAAAGTTCATAGTTTAAACTAAATGTACACTATTTAAACTACCTGGTGGTGACAACCTTGGAGGAAGTAACTAGTTCAAATTTAGATATAATGCCAAACTATAGCAGTTAATCTTTTGTTTATATGTGTCTTCTCTGTCTGTGAACTCCTGGATATATAAGAGCCAAGATAATTTGTATACTCTCCTACAAATCTGGAGTACAACTTGACTTAATAGCTCTTTGCAGGGAACTAGACTACATAGCAAAAACAGATCTCTTGCTGGTTATCTTTTGCAAATCCTGATGGCACAGTGGTTAGGATGCAATACTGCAAGCACACTCTGCCACAGCCTGAAGTTCGATCCTGGCAGGGCTAAAGGTTGACTCATCCTTCCATCCGTCCAAGGTCGGTAAAATGAGGATCTAGACTATTGGGGGCAATATGCTGATTCTGTAAACCACTCAGAGGATGCTGTAAAACACTATGGATTTATATATAAGCTTGCTACTGTTACCGTTCTTTACTTGAAGGTTTTGCTTTTACCCTCTTAATTTTTGGAGCAGTTCCCTGACTCTAGCAATTGGTCTCCCTATGGTGCTCTGTCTATCCAAGTTGTTCATCAACAGGAAAGTATAATTAATAATAAAAGAAGCCAGCTAATAGTCAACCTCCAACCTATTTGTTCTTCCCTAAAGATTAGCCACAGAGCATCAGAAAAATAGCAATAGCACTTAAACTTATATACCACTTTACAGCCCTAAGCAGTTTACAGAGCTAGCATTTTGCAATTTTGGTCCTCATTTTACCCACCTTGGAAGGATGGAAGGTTGAGTCAATTTTGAGCCAGGTGAAATCTGAACTGTCAAATTTCAGGCAGTCTGCAGTCAGCAGAAGTAGCCTGCAGTACTGCACTCTAACCATTGCACCACTCAATATTTTGAGGCTTAGCTGAAAACTGTTTTCAACTGCTGTAATATAAGAAAATATTTCTTTTCTTTCATTGCAAACAGACTTGTGTTCACAATCAGTCTAATTCACAGTAAGGTCTTAACTTGGTCAGCCCTTCTAAACTATGTAATCTAAAAGAGCTTTTTTTGCAGGCATAAATTTGGCAATAAGACAACCTGGATAAGAAAGTTTTGCTTGCAAAAATATGCCAAACAAATGAAAAGAATATGAATTTCTCTTATTAGGTAAAATGTTCATAAATGTTAACTTGTAGCAAATTAATTAAGAATTATTAGCTTACCTCAGAACAACCATGAGCAGACAGACTTCTGTGTTGAATGCTTAAAAATAGTTTTACAGAAACAAAAAAATGCCATCAATATGTGGGATAAAAGTAAACACTGGAGGATTTTATGAAAGAGTGACTTAGTCTTTCTTAAACTTCTCTTGAAATGAAACAGTACCATGTAATATTTAATACTTAAAATTTATTCTCTTTCCTTTCTCATTTCCATATTATTTTCTCTGCCCTTTACAATCCTATCCCAAATCTCTAAAAAGTCTATATTGCTAGACTATACCTTAAGAATTAATATAATTACCAGAAAACTCCTGAGCAGCCATCACAGACGAAAGGGAGGAAATCTAATATAAAAGAAATATTGTAATTATATTCACACTTTGATAGGTATAATCATCATAATGATAGTAAGTTGGTAGATCTATTCTGTATGAACACATTACTGGTCAATTTATATGCTAAATGGAATAAACTTGAGGCCAAACTGCAGAATTAACTAGGTATTCTTAAGCACAGTTTTTAATTTGTTGGCTTTAAAGAGGTTTCAGTCATATATTCTGAGCAGTATACTGGCATTTGTAAATCAGGTTGAAAAAATTTCAGTAATAAAATTGAAAAAAAAAGTCAAAGAATACAGTACAGTGACGTGTACTAGCTTTATAGAAATACAATTTACTAATTTAACTGCAGTGGGTTATGATTTTGTCTTTAGAACTTTCAAATAATAAAAAAATGAAAGGTAATTGGTGTTTCCAACTTGCATGGAGTCATGGTAAGAAAACAATTTCTCTAACTTTTTGTTTCCTAATTTTATCTTTTTAAAGTTACAGGAATATAATTTTTCAATAGCTGTATAGTCTCTGTGTTAAATTCTCAGAGGGTTGTGGTTGTTGTGGGGAGTGTTGTATAACTTTCGTGAAGATGATGTGGGTTATGCATCTAATAAGATACCAAGAGAATTTTCAATAATATAAAAGTGCATATTGAAACAAAATAACACTAAACAAATAGTAACACTAACAAATAATACTAAAGAACAATACGTTATGTTAAATGTAAACTAAGTTTGGAAGATTTTGCAGAAAGGTGTGAATAAAACTCTTCTTTCTTTCTCCAATTTCGTAAAACTTCTGGCCCACAAGTGCTTTGTTCTTGAATGCCTGGGATGATTTTCAACAGATCAGTTATAGTTAGCAATAGGTAGAAAAATGGATTTTTCATATCTCCTAAATTAAGCTAAAGAGGGAAGCAAAATGAAATTTTAATGGTAGACTGGTGAACACATCTCTGCTAAAAAAAAGGCTTCCTTTGGGACTACTAAAGCTAGGCAGATTTCACTTTGTACCTTAATTCTAGATTTTACACACATACCTTTTACACAAAAACATCAGTTCTTTGTTCTTAAGGACAGTTTAAAAGATTAAATATAAAAGACATCGTCATACAACGGATGGTTATTCCTCCTATAAGTTTTTTTCTTTAAAAAAAAAAAGAAGTTTGCTTTTCACTATGCTTTTCATAACCACAAACGCCCTTCAGCTGCATTTAACCAGCAGGCAAGCAGGCAGGCAGATTCATAGAAAGAGCCCTCGGCATTCATTCACCCTCCTCTTTTCGATCGCCCCCTCTTCCTGCACCCTGGTTTTGCACTCGAGGGAAAGTTAGAAACACCAAGCCAATTGTGGGACTCGTTTGGCGCTGAAATTCCCACGGTGACAGCCAGCCAATTCAGATGCAATGTTTCGCGATAAAAGTTGCAAGCTCTCGAAATACTTAATGTGGGTCCGACTCGCTCCCCAAGCTGCTCCTCTGCCCATCACTCTTTTGATTTTAGAGTCCCCTAACCTGAACCTCCCAACAAAACGCTCTTACCGAGCTGTTTACACTCTTCAACCCCGCAATGCTGCCCGATTTCCAATTCCGCCATGTTTCCCAACAGCGCATGTGCGCGGCGCCACCTTCTTCCGGGGATACTTGAGGACTTTATTCCAGCCTTCTTTCCTTTTCCCTTCCCCGTTGCTTGAAACCAAATAGGAGGCGGAATCGCCCCTGGCGTAAACAGAGGGGTGGAGCTTGTGCGGTAACTCATGAATAATCCATGTAGCTATCCCAGCAACAACAGCGAACCTATTTTGTGTTTCCTTCTGGAGATTTTTCGGCTTCCCATTCTAGACTTCCCATTCAGTTTAGGATTTCTTTGAAGTTTCTCGTTCACTTCTGACAAACTATGAAATGAACTTGTGATGCAACAAGAATCAATTGCCTTACGGATTGTTTCTATTTTGTGAGCTAAAAAAAATAAAATTTAATAGACATTCAGAATCGCTTAAGAAAAGTGCGTATGTTTTTGTTTTTTTCTGTTAATAAGCAGATAGCTGGCTTGTTAATAGCATATGCCAGACGGGAATCGGGAGAATTTGGGATTGTAGTTAATCACAATTAAATATGAGTCAGCAGCAAAGCCTGGCTGCCTTGACAAAATGTAGTTTGTAAAAGGTGGGAAGAGTTCTGCATATTATGTACTAGTCAACTTTCAGCTCAACATAATATTGCATTCTATATATGCCATATTTTAAGATTTACAGAAGTTACTGAAATAACTATAAAAGGTGCAAAAGTAGACGATCAGTGGACTAGAAAGTGATATAAAACCATGTAGTCTTCGAAAATAATTTAGAAAAAATATGTTCATTTTTCTTGTTCAGTTCTTTATTTTGCATTAAAGGAAACATGTTGTTGTTTGATGAACTGCATTATGGCCCAACTCCTTAAAGTGGCACTTTAAAGCAGTATAATATCATTAAAATTCATTACTCGGTTTTAATGTCTAGGAGAGGTAATAAATAAAGGTAATAAAATGAAAACTATAGAGCACATTTTTCCAAAGTGTGCATAGAACATCAGAAGCTGTTTTCATTATTGTAAAACATATAATATGGAATAATAGTTTAAACTTATAGCAACATCCCAGTTATTAGGGAGACAAAAATAACTTTGGTAATTGTGAGAGCAGAAAAATACCATTACTGTGAGTTCCCTTTTGTGCATGTATTCAAAAAGAAGCTGGATAGCCATTTGTTAGGGATGATTCAGTTTGAATTCTTAAAATACCTTCCACTGCTGCAGTTCTTATAAAAGGTTATAAATTTTCTTGCATTTTAAAACACATTACTGTAATTCTAAGAGTCTTTCATGGACTTTGCTATGTATTAGACAATGTTAAAGTGTCTTGTAGTTTTTTGCACAAGAGATTCAATATGGCTATCTGCATGGAATCTACACAATCTACCAGCTTACCGACAACTGGTGAAGAAAGTTATACCCATCATAAATCTTTAACTTTTTAGTTAGTATTTGACTGAAGACTGACGTTGAATGTTTTTAATCTCTTTTATTCCAATGGCAATCAAGTTTTACTGCCTTGGACTTTTACCTCATGTTCAAGGGTTCAAAGTAAAAATGCAACAATAATGGACTTGAAACAGAACTGTAATTTATGTGAATTATAGCAAAAACTTAGATTTAGAATAACTCGTCACTTTGGATGTACACTAATTGGCATACATTAAAATGAACTTTCGTTGCAACAGCTCTCAAGGGTCACCACCTCCAATATACACTGTAGCAAACTAAGTATTGCTTAACTCTGGAATAACCTCCTTCTGCACCTATACTGAACATACATTACTATTTATCCAAACTTCAGGAACGGGAGTCTGGTTACAGCTCGGGACGGCATGTTCCAGTGGGGGGAGCAAGTCCAGACTTTTCACTTTACAAAGTCACCATTTCTCTTTTTTACTGGACGCGCTGCTTCCTTCCCTTAGTTTCCGCAGTTGCGGCTGCCGCTCGAGAAGCTTGCAGCACCTGTCGCAGGTGCGCGTGGATCACGTGGCTCTGCCGTCGGTCTAGGGAGCCGCGCCAGCTTCCTTCCTTTTAGGCGTTTCTCCGCTTGCGCGACCGGACCAGATTAGGGAATGCGGATAGAGTTGGCCGTCGCTCGTTAGTTCTCGGGGGGGAACAACACAAAACAAAACAAAACAAACCCGAAGAGGGAGAGGTATTCAGGCCGCCTTCCATTAAGACGGTGGCGCTTCGGCGGACCGAAGATGAGCAAAATCCAGAAGTTTTTCAAGGGCGGCGGCGGCGGGTCTGGCTACTCCAAGGGGAAGGGGAAAGGGGGCCCCACCCCGCAGGAAGCTTTGGCGCGGCTGCGGGAGACGGAAGAAATGCTAATCAAGAAGCAGGAATACTTGGAAGCCAGGGTCGCCAAGGAATTGGCCCTGGCTAAGAAATACGGCACCAGAGACAAGCGAGGTGGGTTTTCTCGAGGAAGCAGGCCTTGAATCTGGCAAATCAAGGTGATTAAAAGAGTACCTCGCTGAGACGTATGGGCTTTAGGAAACGAGCCCTCTGAGCGTGAGCGGAGTACAAAGCCTCATCGGACAAAAGATCATTCAAACTCTTGGTTTTAGAGAGTTGTCCACGACTTTAAAAAGTATCGTCGTTGTGTTGGTATGGGGAAGGGCAGAAAGTGATTTCGCATTGCAAAATCTTGCCTTAGAGCCGTTTCCTTAACTCCGTGAGAGACTTTAACTTTAGTGTTTGGTTCAGTGGTTTCTTTTTATACACTTTAGAAGTTGGAGGTTGGTCAGTCGTTTTAAATTCTGGTATTGAATTGCATTGCTTGTACTTAGTTTTAAAATTTGGCTGCAGTTGTTGAAAGATATTTGTGTCACAGTAAGAATTGCCTTTGTTCACATGACTGAACAAAGTTATAATTTGAGCGCTGGAAATTGGTGTTTTTGTGTCAGTGAGTTCAGATTTGGCTGCTGCTATATTTGAACCTCACCCTCCCTTTTCACAATTATGTGTGGCTCTACCTAGGATGAAAATGCTTTCTTTCCTATGTATAGTGTTTCCTTTCTTGTTTTCACATCTCATCGGGGATATCAGCCTCAGTGAAATAAATTTAAACACTGAGCTTAAAGGTCTTGTGTGCCCTCTTATTACATTTAAGATATTCCATTGTTGTGTTTAATTCTAAAGGTAATCATAAGATTTTTGCCTTCAGATGGCTTTCAGCGGATGCCACTTTCGAATGCTACCTTGAGGGCTTTATTGTCAGAAATGCTTCCTGTGTTGTTCCCCCGTAAATTTATTTCCCAGGAATAGAAACTTACACAAACAACCTTTCCTCTGAGCAATTTTGAATGCTTCTACCATATATCTTCCCAGATTGCTTTGTATGTGAATTTGATACCTGCTAGAAAGTTTTGATTGTGGATGGTTCAATAAGTTGACAAGCAATTGCAGTAATATAACCTCTCTCTGTTTAATAGTATTCAGAATGAGGTCTTGTTTTTTGAATAAAGCTTTTAAGACTACCTACCAATTACCACATCTGCATTTGTTTGGATCTTGTTTGAGTAGGACTTATTTCTGAATTGATTGTGTGCCCTTGAGATGTTTTTGACTCCTAGTGTTCACATAGATATATTTTCAACTCATGATCTGTCCCTAATCTGGCCTTTCAGGTATTCCAACATTCTTTCTAAATAACATTTTTTTCATGATATAAACGAAGTGGAAGTAATGGAACAACTAGGTTTGTAGGATTCAGGTGTGAAATTTTACATGCATGCTTAAAATGTCCCTAGTGTGAAAATTAAGTAATGTAAGAAATTAAGTAATTCATATAAAATTATATAAGTAAATAAATATATCATGACACCTCTCATTTCTGTTTGAAATCACTGGAGTATAACTCCCTCCAAGAAAGGCATCTCTGGGAGTGGGGTATATGGAAAGAGTCAAGGTGGCAGCTGCCATCATAAGATTGAAACTCTGCCTATTTTGTGCATGTGATGAATGTAAAAAATGCATATGTAATATATAGAAAAGGGAGTGAAGCTTCATTTACATATCTGCCATATTACATAGATTTTTTTTACCTCTCACTTTCGTCAAATCTTTTAAGGTAAAGAGTTGCAAAGCCTAACATTTAAAAAAAAGGAAGATAATGTTGAAATTGGGGAAATAAACAGTGATTTAATGAGGATATGATTAAGGATGATGTTGGACTGTCTCACTCATGGGCTAATGGCAAAGTCATTGGGACAGGAAAGAAAAAAAATCATCAGCGTATATTTGTATTGTGGTTAAGGTGCAATCAGGAAAAAACATGAAATAGATATGTTTTGAAATAACTCATTGTCATTTACATCATTCTACTAAAGTAGCCGTGTAAAGGTGCAATATTATGGTTCTCGGCAGTATGGGGATGCTGCAACGATCATAAGGGTGAAAAATGGTTATTTCACTGATGTAAGTTCTCACAGTCATTAAACAAATGGTTGTAAGTGTATAGTTTTTAAAAATAGATTTATTTAGCTTCTCATTAAAGTGGAATCAATGATTTTGTTATATTGAAGCAGGGGGTTGGACTAGAAGACCTCCAAGGTCCCTTCCAACTCTGTTATTCTGAAGGTAGTTGTAGTTATAGTTGTAGTTTATTCAATTTGTATGCCGCCCTATTTCCGAAAGACACAGGGCCGCTAACAACCAAGGGGGGAAGGGGATACAAATAGGACAATAAAGACAAACAGATTAAAATACAGCAACAGTCAACATTCAAGTGGGGCTGGAAATTCATCAGCCCCAGGCCTGCCAGAACAACCAGGTCTTAGTGGCTTTGCGGAAAGCCGGAAGGGTGGTGAGGGTCCGGATGTCAACGGGGAGATCATTCCAGAGGGCCGGAGCAGCCACAGAGAAGGCCCTCCCCCACACTTGGGCATGTCTGTGAAATCAATAGCTAATGAATCCATGGGATAATATCCTTTGGGTTGACTTGAGCATACATGCTACACCTTTCACTCGCATGGGCACACAGTGCGTGTAAGCAGTCAATGTAAGATGGAGTTCTTCTGCTTTGGAATATCTGGAGCTCAGTCTCCTTCACATTTTTTCAATGCTGCCTAAGTTATCATGTCAAGGTGGC